CCGAGCACAATGTTCTCCCTCCCCACACAACCAACCTTGCAGCGGCGTCCCCCTCTGTCACCTTGGCGGTCCTCCTCACCACCTCAACCAGACAAATAGTGGTGGTCGACCTCTTGGCGCTGGGGACACAGGAAAGCCGACGAAGTTGTGCCTCAACCGGAGGGCGGCGGCGGTCGCCATCCTCCCCACCACTCCTGCTAGCCTCACATGCATTGCTGCACAGAGTGCGTTGCCATCCTCCCCACGTGCTCCTACCACTAGCCGATGCTTCCATGAGCAATGGCTTCTCCCATTGGCCTCTGTTGAGTATATGAGCAATTTTCCATTAAGTTTTCCAGAAATGCGGTAGATAAATCATGATTGTTTGGCATGAGAAACAATAAAAATAATGTGGTTATTATATTATTATCTCTCTATGCGCCAGGGGAAAATAAACATTGCTGGTGTGCCAGTGTACTAAGTACACAAATAAATATAGGGAAACATGCACTTTATTGATCTCTCATTGGAGAAACAAAATTACAACACCCCTTTACATATGCGCACTCCGTGGCCATCTAGCGCGGCCGAGATGACTTGGGCGATTGTGAAGTTCTGGTTCACGGGGCTTGGAGAGCAACCGATTAATTACGTCCGCGAGTCAAAGTCGCGGACCACCTCCGATTAAGCTGCTACAATGGTGGTCGTCTTCAAGTCTTGTCTTCTCCAAGTGCTCGGTGTAGAGGATGGTGATGATGTGGTGGACTAGAAGGGTGGAGTGGTGCATCCGTCACTCCGACGATGCTTAGCAGTATCCCTCCGGCTTTGTGGATGTTCGATGATGAAGTTGTCTCTAGCTCAAACAGATGGGCGGCCTTCGCCTTATCGGTGCTCGGCCTAGTGGTGCCCGCCTCGTAGGCTTCGGATATGGTGGCTTGCCTTTGCCGTGTCGGTGCCCGGCAAGATATGGATTACTTCATTGGAAAAAGACATGTTGGTGAAGTGGCTTCACCTCGTCTGAGCTTGGTCGATGTTGGGGATGTGTTGATGTAGAAGCTGAAGTAGACTTGAGCCTCGCCGTGTGGCGACGTTGCTTGATGATAGACGACAATGCAAGCTTGACAATGTAGACCTCGGGGCGTTGGAATTAGGCAAATGACCTCTGCCTAGTGTAGACGGTTGACGTAGAAGAATGGTGGTGTACGGGTGCAGTCGTCCGCGCGGGCGATAAGTCTGTGAATATGACTGACATCATGTCGAAGTAGGTGTCTGGCGCGCGCCAATGTAGACGATGTCCTCACTAGATGAAGATTTGACGTAGATGAATGACGCCGTGCCAATGTAGACAATGTCCCCGCCAAATGAGGAGTTGATGTAGAAAGATGTCAATTGGTCAGTGTAGACTGATGGTAGTGTGACGATGTCCATGTCAGGTGCGAAGTAGATGAAGATGGCAACACCATGTCGATATAGTCACCTTCGTCGAGCTGAAGGTTGATGACGACGGCACCGACGCGGTTCCGTGCGATGAGCTAACTAGCTCCCGGGTCGGTGAAGATAGGTGTTGATATGTCGAGCGTCACGGTTGGTGATGGCGTTGGCTCATGTGGCAGCTCGGTCGACGACGACATGGTAAAGTCAATATGCAGGCAACATCTTGTACCTGAAAGTATATATGTGCATGTAGTGGAAGAAACATGGTGTAACGAAGCCACGTTCTAGTGCCATCCCCTTGGTGTACTTCGCTGCCTTGTCCTCTCTCGCTTGGCGCATCGCCTCCGCACTTGTGTTGACATAGAAGTAGCATGTTGGTTTAGATGGGAGAAGGCACTGCCGGTCTGCTCGTGGATGTACGTCTGGGCATGGGTGAGAGAAGGCATGCACCGTTGGTCTGTTCCTGGCGCGCATCCGTTAAGGCGGCCATACATCCGTTATGGACGCATGTGCCTGGAGGCAGCGAATGCTTGTATCCAAGGCGAACGACAGTGGCGCCATACCTGTTATGGATGTATGGCTGCCTTAACGGATGCACGCCAAGGATGTATGGTCACCTTAACGGACGCGCGCAAGGAACAGATCGACGGGCAGGCCGCACACGAGAAGCTCCTCTATCTTCGGCTGTTAGGGCCGCGACGAGGCTGGATCGCTCGCCGGCAGCACCGTCGTATGATACATATTTGGCGATGTAGTCTGAGGGCAGAGCTAGCAGTCTGCTGCACATGGGCCAGCTCTTATAATCCCACCATCGTCTCCGTTGCTATTCCCATATTTTGCTCGCTGGATGTGTTGAAATGAGAGAGATAGTATGGGAGAAATAGAGAGAGAGGATTAATTAGGCAGGCATTCCATTGAAAAAGATGGACGCTGTGTGTGACTTCATTCTTCTCCTTGTTGAGGTAGATGGTGGTGGAGCCTTGACACCGGCCTCCTCCTCCCGGCGCGTGTGCAGCTACGCTTGTTCACCTGATGGATGCTTGTGCTGCTTCACCGGCTGGATGTACGCCCTAGTCGCTGGCGCGTTGTCCGCGGCCACCTTGGACGCGCGCGGACGCTCGCTCAGTCTTCAATTTGTTGGGGCATGCTCTGTGTCGCTGCTCTCGGCTGTATGTGTACGCCTCCCGGCTGTGTGCGTATGCCCTTCCTTGGATGCATGCTTTTCAATTTGTTGGGGCATGCTCTGTGTCGCTGCTCTCGGCTGTATGTGTACGCCTCCCGGCTGTGTGTTTATGCCCCTCCCTGGATGCATGCTTCACTGTCCAGCTAATGGGCTTCGCATCCCTAATCTGCCTAATGAAGAAGGTAAAGAGAACAGCAGAGATATTAATCAATGTGCATGGTTCCTGCATCGACTCGGCCTTGATGCAAGTCTTGACGTCGCTACCACTGAGGGTCTCATTGACGCCGTGGAGATGGCACCGGGGCTTCTTTTCTGAACGTTTGTTCTTCGGCCGTGTGTGCCATGCCGCAGCCTCCTCTTTGTGTTGTCCCGGCGGTGCCATACAACCATGGATTGGCTTTTGGTTCGGGCACGTGTGCCATGCCGATGTCAGTGCGTCGTCCACGGCTGCTGTGTTCCTTAGCTGCCTCTGTATGCTGCGTGCTCACTGATGGAAAAAGGCACCGTGGGCCTGTTTCAAGCCGCATGCTCGTCGCCGTATGGCGTCATTTGCTGCCCCGTGGCTGCATTGTGTGCGAGTGCACCGAGTGCTAGGGCCTTTTCCGCAGGCTCCTCCCCCCTCTCCTCCCTCCGTGTATCTCTTATCCTCTCCCGCTAATCGTTCTGCTCTAGTATTTATAGGCAGATGGTAGGGCACAGGTGAGACCTCATGGTTGCAGATAAGATAAGTACGTACTTGTGAGGGTCATCGTTATCTCTTCCTGCTTATCCGGCTGGTCATTAAGTTGTGATGCGCATGTACGCAACTAAGCATGCGGTGCACCACAACTCCTGATCGGTCGGGCATGCACGAATACGTGGTCATTTGCCTCTGTACCACTTGGCCATTTGGTATATACGTATATACCAGTACTACTTCACATGTATATCTGGCCATGGTGTGCCATGCATGTATACTGATGTGTAGAAACACCACACATTCACGAATGTGATGGATGCCGTAAACAAATGTGTTGAACTTGATGCACTTTATTTATTTATTTATTCTTATTTGCACGTAATATGTACAAAATCTTGTTGAACAATGATGAACCATATTAATCACGATCAAAATCTCATCGAACAATGACGAACATATTAAACATAATGATCGAATGAACAGAAGTACTACGCATGGTAGACATTTGATAAAAGTAACATGTCCAGATCAATTGTAGTGCCAATAGTCCAAACATAATCCCTAACAAAAGGGATAAGAACACATACAGTGAAATGGAAGAAGAGTCGTTCATATCAGTAGTTATGTCGTCTTGACGTCGGGGAAGTAGTTGTTGGGGAAGAACTTGGGTGCAGCCACGTTGAAGAAGAATCCAGCAGTCGCGCAAGAGCGCTCCTCGAAAACTTGATCGCCTCTCTCCCGTGCAGGATCACAAGAGTTGTGGTTTCAGAGGCCTGCACTTCACGGTGCACGCCATGAAACGGAGTGAGAAAGTCGCAGGCGCAAGGTTTTGGAACTACTCCCTCCGTTTCCAAATATAAGACCTTTTAGATATTCCAATGTGGACTACATACGGATGTATACAGTCGTATTTTAGAGTATAGATTCACTCATTTTGCTCCGTATTTAGTCCATATTGGAATACCTAAAAGGTCTTATATGTAGGAACGGAGGGAGTAGGAGGCATAGGTGTGGTGTCAAATGGCTGCATCTACATTAGAGGAGCGAGCTCTTGTAGAAAAAAGTGAAATGGCTCCACCAGGGAGACAAAGAAAACAAAAACTGATCCACTACAGGGAGAGGAACAGTCCATGTTAGTTTGGATTTCCACTAGTAAAAAAACATTTCAACTTATTTCCTACATGACAAAAATAAGGCAGCACGTACATGTGGCATAGGTCCTAGTGTGGCTTAGCTTAATCACGAAACGCGACGCGTGTGCGAGGCCAGGCGGGCGGCAGAGGAGAGCGCGTGTGTGCCCTCTTCTGAAGCTCTTTTTTTTTTGAACACAGTACAGACGCAAGCGCTCATATACACGCGCATACACTCACCCCTATGAACGCACGCACGCACACCCTACCCCTATGAGCACCTCCGAAATACTGAGCCGGCATATCATCTTGAAATTTACGAAGTCACGGTAGGCACCTCGTCGTCGACAGGTACGTCTCCTCCCACTGAATGCGCATCGCCGGAAATCCTGAAATAAATCCAGGAATAAATGCGAGCACCAGGATTTGAACCCTGGTGGGCTGGGGATACCAGTCCCTCTAACCATCCAACCACGGGTTGGTTCGCCTCTTCTGAAGCTCTTAGTGGTGTGTGAAGGAACCAACCTTATATGTTGGTCCAACACATGCTGCACAACCGGGGTGGGACTAAACTTTCCACATTGTCATGCATGAATGGGCCATGTGGGCTTCTCGGATTTCCTAGGAATATTGGAAATAGTAAAATGGGCTAAAAGCCCAATAATTCCAACAGCCTCTTCTCGCTGCGGTGTCCTCCCATTGTCAGTTGCTCCCCTGCGCGGCGGTTCGTCTCGCTGGCCATGGTCTGCTGGCTGCTATATCAAGTTGATCCAGAAGAGATTGCCGATTGTACTAGGCCACCATGGTGTATTGCTGGATGTGTATGGCCCTATGGTGTATGGTACTTGTATGTTTGGAGCTCAAATTGATCTGTACAACTTGTATCCGTGTCGTTGTTTGATGTTCATTTTTTTTGGCCAATTTCAGAGATTATTTTCATAGTATGTACCACCTGGAATTTTTTCTACTGTCCAAGTAGAGCTCTTGGGCTTTTGGACTGGGTCTTGGGTTTCAGGCTTTTGCTTGGGCGGGGCTTGGGCTTGTACTTACAATATCTGGGCTTTGGGCGCCCAGACTTGGTTGTTGAGGGTCAACTTCTGCAAGCCTGGCCTGAAACCCGACCCGGCCCAAAGAATGCCCAGGTTTAGTTGATACCTTATGTTAGTTAGATCGCAGACATGCAATACATAACTTCTTTTTTCTGTTTGCAGCTAAACTTGTTCACTGCTCTTCTTTTTTCCCAGGGTCTTGTTTACTATTACTGAGATAAATATTTGTTTTGAGTACCATAGGTTGTGCACTTCCGGTGTCTGGAGAAACCAAAGGAGGAGGGATTTTGTTTGGAATTGTGAGGGGTCACAAATCATTCCCAATTTTGTACTTACATATGTCTTTTTAGTCAACTCGAAAAGATATAATAGTTTTCTTCACTTAGGTCGAAGCTTCATACTTATGATGATGTTGTTGAGAGAGTTGCACGCCAACTTGGATTAAATGATCCATCAAAAGTTCGGCTTACGTCTCACAATTGCTATTCTCAGCAACCTAAACCACAGCCCATCAGATATCGTGGAGTAGAGCATCTATTGGATATGCTTGTCCATTATAATCAGGTTTAGCTTCATCTTTCTTTTGTTTATTCAGGAAGGCCAGTTTATTATTTAAAAGATGTAACATGACCCGATTTCATACTAATTTTCTGCCTACCTTCCTTTCAGACTTCTGACATACTGTATTATGAAGTCTTGGACATTCCACTGCCAGAATTGCAGTGTTTAAAAACACTTAAAGTTGCATTTCACCATGCAACGAAAGATGAGGTTTGTTTGGCTGCCTGAGTGCTTGGTACATGTTCTTATCTCCATCTTCAGTTGCCGCATCATTAATGCAAATGATCTGCCAGGTTGTAATTCACAGCATCAGGCTTTCGAAAAATAGCACCATCAGTGATGTGATCACTGACTTGAAGACCAAGGTTAGCACTCATCTACCATTTCAGATTATTCAGTCCTTTTTTTCTTCTGTTTGGAGCTGAAGCTAGAATTGGATAGCCTGACTAGATGCAAATGTAACCCATGGCTGGTATCTATTGAGTAGCTACTATAACCCTTTATCTCGTGGTTGTATGCTCAACAGGTTGAACTATCCAATCCTGATGCTGAGCTCCGCTTGCTTGAAGTTTTCTACCACAAGATTTATAAGGTCCGTGCATGTTTATTTGCAAATGGAGATGGTGCACTTTATACACAGTGCTTCTGTACATCCGGGCATACTCTTTCGACGTTCTTTTGGCATCACTGAATAAAATAATCTTACCTCTATCTGCAGATATTTCCACCTCATGAGAAGATAGAGAACATAAATGATCAGTACTGGACACTACGTGCTGAGGAGGTTCGTGGCATTATCTCTGTTTTGTTTGATGATGTTGACCTGTTGACATACTAGTTATGTTGCACACGTTTTTTTTATGTCATTTGTCTTGCACTACATTGTTTCTACTGAAACAGATTCCAGAGGAGGAGAAGAATCTCACTGCACAGGATCGGTTGATTCACGTCTATCATTTCATGAAAGATCCTAATCAGAACCAGGTACCACACTTTCCATATTTCTACCTTAAAAGATATTAGTCTATGGTGTGTTGCATGGAGTAGCTACCGATATGCTGGACCAATATAAGCTGAGATCGTTATCATGGCCAACAGCAGATTCAGAATTTTGGAGATCCCTTTTTGCTGGTCATCCGTGAAGGTGAGACTGCTGCAGAGGTAATGGACCGTGTGCAGAAAAAACTCCGAGTTCCCAATGAAGAATTCGCCAAGGTAATCCATACTTACATATCCTAATAATCTGTTTGGAATGAACTATTCTGCCTGCATGTATTGCTTTGGTATAGATAGAGGAGGTTTGTTGGATTTAGTATGTCTGTTGCTCCAGTTCTGCATACCCAAAATTTCCAGACGTTTCTGGTATTTCCAACCCATGTCTGTTGAGGATATGAGCGTGGAGTTGAAGTGTCAAAAACTCAAAATACTTACCTACACCCCCAATCAAGATCCTTAATGGTATTTAAATTGAAATAAGTTACTTGTCAGAAAATGTTTGTGTACATCTGTTATCCAGACAATAATCTTCTACGTGTCTTGTACAAAAGTAGGAATACGCCTTTCTCCACTTTACCGTGTGCGATCCATTTCTATCCCTACTATGTTCTCAGGTGGTTATCTTCTGTTGATTTGTGTGTATGGAAGCTGAAGGTATGATGGTTGGAGATGGGGGTTGGTGGTCAGAACACAAGAGTGTAACGAGGTCCCCCTCGGACGTACGTCAGGGCTCATTCCTGTCCAAAGAGGCACTGAACTATTGGGGCATTTTTTGGTTTATTTATTGGTCGATGCGAAGTTACATACGAGGTCCTTTATTTACAGGACCAGCTATGTACTGGTAAACAGACGACCACTTCTTTCCTACTATTATGTTATTATCTCACCAATTAATACATTGGACACTTAGCCGAACTAATCAGCCGAACCGACTAAATGCGGGCCATGACTATGACTCTTCAACCACTTCCTTGCCCCATTTTACGGATCATTTATTCATATTTATCTATAATTCTTGGCTTGGGCACTTGGAGAGGGACATTTAAACATATAGACTAGGAACCGGGGAAGGAGAATAAAATACTCAGAAATACGACCACCTAATTTGCACCGATATGGATGCACGTATCGGTGTAGGGCCAATTCGGATATGGGAATACAGTATTTCTGAAAAGCACCCTATGTCAGGGCACATTCCTGTCCAAAGAGGCACATTCCTGTCCAAAGAGGCTCTGAACTATTGGGGCATTTTTTTGGTTTATTTATTGGTCGATGCAAGTTACATACTAGGTCCTTCATTTACAGGGCCAGCTATGTACAAGTAAACAGACTACCACTTCTTTCCTACTATTATATTATTATCTCACCAATTAGCCGAACCGACTAAATGCGGGCCATGACTATTCAACCACTTCCTTGCGCCCCATTTTATGGATTATTTAGGCCAACTCCAACGCACGACCCCAAACGGACGTCCGTTGGGCGGCGTTGGCCGTTTTCATGGATGCGCTGGCCGTGCGCCCAACGCGCGTACACATCTGATCCGCCACGGCCGGCTAGTGCCCGTATGTATACATTTTTTGGTCCCATTTCTTTTATTTCATCAACGGCATTTTGATACATTGGAGTACATTCACCAATTCTCGACTAGAATAGCAAGACCAAAGAAAACAAGAACTACAATTAGACATTTTAAAAGATATCCAACTTTCATAACTCTCCCACAAGTTGGATTAGTATCTTCTCGATATCTTCATTGTTGATCTGCAGCTTCTTGATCTTGCATACTTTCTTCTTCGATTCTAAAGAAGTAGACATTGCTTCACATCTAGTCTCATCTCTAGCCTCTATCCTCACAACGAGTGCACGAACATCTATCAAATTTCGTCCTATCAATAGATCGATGTATTCTTCTTCCAATGCCAAAACTTGCATCCATCCTACACACAAATTTGAGTATAAGCAAAGAGCTATCCAAAATGCGCCGAACCCGGGAGCACAACCGATGAACAAGCACGTACCCCATCGTTTTTGCACTTGATGAACACCCATCCGGGATGTTCCGGCGTTGTAGATACGCAATGAACGACCTGCCCTGCCGTGGGCAGTCGTCGCACTTTATGAGCGGCAAGGGTGAGCCGACGAGTTGCTGGGCCAGCATCGACCCTGGACGACGGCCGGACGTGTCGTTGCCGGTGAACCGCCAACGGGATAGATCCCAGCGGCTAGAGGCGGAGTCAATACCTGCATGCGGTGTGGAGGTGTTGTCATGCGGTCCGGTACCCAATACATGGCAAGGCGCAGCCTCTCGTGTCCGGATGCGCTCAAATCCGACGGCCGGGCTGGATAGCAAGGTGGTCGAGAAAATGGCAGCGGCTATGGAGGCGGGAGGGGAACAGAAAAAGGGCCGTCTGTATCGCCGACGGGCGGGCCAGGGGAGGACAAGGGCACGCATCCCGCTCGTCCGCGTGTGTTCGTTTTGATGCAAACGCGGCCCAAATTTGGGTGGGAAACGGGTCAAAAGCGGACGGTTGTCCGTTTGCTCCCGCGCGTTGGGCCGCGTTTTTTGTCCGTTTACCCCCAAACGGTCGCGGCCGGACCAATTGGGGTTGTGCATTGGAGTTGGCCTTGGTCATACTTATCTCTAATTCTTGGCTTGAGCACTTGGAGAGGGACATTTGAACATATAGACTAGGAACGGGGAAGGAGAATAAAATACTTAGAAATACAACCGCCTAATTTGCACAGATATGGATACATGTATCAATATAGGGCCAATTCAGATATGGGAATACGGTATTTCTAAGTACCAATACGGGGATACGTTTGACTATTTCAAAAAGTAATGGTAAATGTGGGACTCCAGCCCACCACCTGCTGGAGCTGCTTGGTGCCTGCTCCAGTGCACTGCCGCCAGGAGGTAGCTGCCGCTAACAGAGAGGGAGAGGGAGAAAGAGAGAGCTGAGCTGGCTTGCTCTCAGCGAGCTGCTGCAGGTTCCCTGAGCCAACCGCTGTGTCGCCGCCGGCTGCTGCATCTGGTGACGCTGCATGGCCACGCAGTCTAGGTTGGGACCTGGGAGAAAGATTCGAATCGGGTCGGGATGGCTAGCTTATGCTGCCCTTAATGGGCTGGTCGGTTGGAGGTATCCACATGTATCGTGCAAGTATCCTGCACGTATTGAGAATTAAAAATTGTTTTAATGCTATATCAGGGGATACTCAGCCGATACTTATCCAACATGTATAGGGGACGTATCGGTTTCAGATATGTACCGATATGGGTGCGATGCTCCAGTCACGTATCAGTGTTTTTGAGATAACCACTGGATGATCAGCTTTTGAACAAAAAAATTACGACTTGGTCCATGGGTTAAGTTTCTAAGCCGGACCCGGTCATTCCTTTTTTTTTTGAACCGGG